TGTAATGCTGTGTAATTGAACTGCGGACAGAGAGACATATTGTTGAGTCGAGCACGTGAGGCGTTCGTTGTGAATTATAGCGTTTGTTATAGCGCGACTGAGGAAATTAAGTGTATCGCAAAGTTGTGTTCAGAAAGAATAAACCAGTTTTATTTAAGACAGGACTTGTATCGGTAAAGTTTCTTCGGAAATAATTTTTAAGAAAAATTAACTAACGACCAGAGATGTAACAATACTTTACTTCTGACAACATTATTGTATCGTTGTTCTTTTAAGTCATCTGGTGAAAATAATTCCAAGGTCAGCACTATTAATCTCGACTCCCCTCTCAGTGGTAAGTCTGAAGGCTTATAACGCTAAAAACCGGATTTCGATACCCGTGGCGGATACAGTTCAGATAACCCATTATGAACTTTGTACTTAACAACAAACAATCAAAACAAACCACTTAAACTGTAACAAATTAGTTTATATTCTATTTTAGTGTTTCTAAAAGCCTTAATACTTGTACAATGCCATAAGTTGATGTAGGCCTAGAATATAAATAACGTTCGAACCTCTGTAACTCTATAAGAACGATAGCAAACATAGATGTATTTGTTTATTTGAAAGCAAAGCCACATTGGGTTGTCTACTGTGTCAACCACTGGGAATCGAACCCCGGATTTTATAATTGTAGATTTACAGGTTTTTCTCCGGGGGACAACACAGATCTAAATACCTCACGAAAATAAAATAAATTTACACAACTATCTCATATTTTTAATCTAGCTTCAAATATACGAGATAAACTTGACGCCAACCTTGAACTTCCTTGGCGGGCTAGCCCTATCTTAATATTATGCGCCCTCTAGCTTATAAATTACAACAATATTTAGCTACAAATGTCATTTTTATTACTTCTTGTGTATATCTAATTCACTTGAGCTTAGATATAAATCTTATTTTTATGAAAACGAAACATTTAGGAAAATTGTTACCGAGCATTGAAACATATTTAACAGTTTTCTACAAAGCTTGATATGAGTCTAAAATAAGACTTATGTAGACTTAAATGTATGTACGTATATGTATATTTAAACCAGGTTTTCAAGATTTGTATTTTAAATGTTTATCGATATTTTGTTTTACATTTTGAATATAATTTTATAGAAAATTTTAATTTTTCTATCTTAAATTTAACGACAACAAAAAAAGATGGTTAATTAATTTACTGCTAAACCTTCCTACCTGTATCTTTCGTTAAAATAACAACTTGAAAATAAAAACAAAAAATTCACACACATCTACACGAGGGCTGTCTGTCAATAGCCATACCCAATTCTGAACCAATAAACTAGAGATAAGGCAACTAGTGAACAGCACTCACCACCAACTCTTGGGCTACTCCTGTTTGATCGAATAGTAGGATTTTGCCATTATTCTTATAATATTCTTACGGCCCGGCATGGCCAGGTGGTTAGGGCGCTCGACTCGCAATCTGCGGGTCGCGAGTTCGAATCCCCGTCCCGTGGGGGTGCTATAATGTGACGGTCAATCCCATTATTCGTTGGTAAAAGAGTAGCCCAAGAGTTTGTGGTGGTAGTATGGTGATGATGACTAGCTGCCTTCCCTATGGTCTTACATTGCTAAATTAGGGACGGCTAGCGCAGATAGCTCTCGTGTAGCTTTGCGCGGAATTCAAAACAAAAACAAAACCTATAGCACTCCCACGCCCTAAACAGTGGAGCGCGTTTCTGTGGCAGAAGATCGGGAACTATGAACCACTGAATTCAAAGTCCGAGCGTGCTAACCATTAGGCAACGCTCGATCTCACTATTTAAACAATTAAGTTTATGCTATTCTATTTTGTACAAGAAATTTGGCCTCTTTTCAAGTCGCACAATAAGAGATATGATACAAATCACTGTTTTCATTAAAGCTTTTCTATGCAATTTAAGATAAATTATCTCCGCAAAAGTAGCACATAAGATTATTCTAAGAAACATAAAGTGTTGAAAATAGGTGCATTTCAAATATAGACATAGATGGAGTTATGATTTAGTCACAACTTGATCTTACGTATAGACCAACGACGTACTTATAAAACATATATATATGATTTCACTGATTGTATTCAACTTTCAAATTTTAATTTTTTTTGTGTTAAAAATACTTCAAAGTTCCGTATTTCTTGATATACAGAAAATGAGGGTGAAGAGAATAAGTCATCTTCAATACGAACTACACCGAAGATAGGCCTCGTCGGCACTGGTTATAGCAGATACAGCGTGATTGAAAAATTATTATATACTCGTCTCTACTTTCACTCAGAAATTCTTATTAGCAATTAGTATCATTTTACTGCAACCAATGGAAAATGGTTAAAAACGATTACAAACCACTAGCGTCGCACTCATTCAAAACATGTTTGAGTGATAATGTTATCGTTGTGTGTTTATCCAACGTTGTTGCCTGTTCGTGTGACAGAATATTGACATAAAGTTTATAATTACAAAGAGAGCACGTTTCAAGAACAATACTTTGAATGGTTCCTTATGGTTTCGTTCTCTCTGCATCAGCACATGTTTCAAATAGAATATCATTTTGGTCTTTATTCTTTGCTTTAGTGTTGTTGTCTCTGCACTAGAGTAAGGACTACATTTGTTTACTTTTGAAAGCATTATTGGAACTTATTATCGTTTATCTACAAAGAAACATGAGATTAAATTTAGACGTTAAGTTCAGCCTATCTTTACGCTACTTGATCTATTTATAGGTGGTTAAAAGATCTTGAATTATACGTGTATTAACAGAAAGTGTTTTACTGCAGCTCTGAGCCTTACTTATACCAAGGGGTTATCATTTAGTGTGTTTAGTTTCCACGGGGTGGCAGCACATTGGCAACGAAAGCTAAATAGTACTGTTTAAAACAGTGGCTCAGTATCGTCCAGGGTGTAGTTGATAGACTTCGCCGTTAAACCATCAGTGAAGCGCTAATATTGTGTAGATTATTCGCCGCTTCGGGCAAACAATGCAAAAAGGTATTTATTTTGAGAGTGTTGTTTGTTGTTAATCCTATTGTAGCTGTGAGAGAAACCATGCTACTTATTGAAAGCAACTTCATGCAAATGTTCACAGTGAAAACTCGCCAAGAAAGGCTCTAAAGCATACGCATGTAATTTTCTCAAAATTTTAATAAAACTTTGTAAATGTTGACTAAGTTTGTAAATAATGGCGCACCCGACGATTTCCAGCTTGGACTATGATCCCCAGTCAGTAAGCCCAGCACGTGTAGCGATGATGGGATCTGCCATGAGCCCCAGCCAGTCTACTGTGGAGGTCATGCGACGTTACATCGAATCTCTTCCACAAGACATGACCTATCGGGAGGAGCTAACCAGTTCTCAGCTCTGGAAGTCCCTGAGGGGCGAGTTGTTGGGAACATTATTGTTGACTGTGGTGGGATGTGGGGCTAGTTTGTCTGTCCAACCAGATTCTGCTGCTGTGCAAGCTGTCACACTTAAAGTGTCTTTAGCTTTCGGACTGGTCATCGCTTCTCTTGTGCAGTGGACGGGACCTGTCAGCGGTGCCCATATGAATCCTTCAGTGTCGATAGCTTTGCTCGTGACCCGTCATATCAGCGTGTTGCGGGCTGGTCTCTACATGGTGGCTCAGTGTGTCGGTGCTCTCGCTGGAGCCGCCGTGTTGTATGGGCTCACACCATTGGAGCAGCGAGATTCGGCAAGTCTTGGAGCGTGCGAGCCGTCGAAACACCTCCATCCAAGTCAAGCTTTCGGGTTAGAGTTTTTGGGAACGCTACTGATCATTCTGACTATACTATCAAACGCTGATCCAGCCAGGACAGACTCTGGTTGCAAGGCCTTGTCCGTGGGTTTTTCTTACACTGCTGCCCATCTATTGGCGGTAAGTATCTTTTAATAAACGCTTCTAGTTGTTTTACTAACTGAACAAGTCTTATGTACATAAAAGTGTTATTTACAGGGGTTCTTTCACACAACTTAATAGAAACATAAGAATAACTTCAATTTTTACAGTTATCATTTATACTAATGCTTTTATTTTGATGAATTTTGTAAAGAATTCAGAGCTCCTTACAATATCACTGTATACTAGAATTCCTTACAACAGTACATCATCATATGCAATTTATCCCTCTTCAGAGAAAATGTTCATCTTAAGAATTATAATATTTTAGACCACACACAATACCAGAGGTTCTGACCTAGTCATCAAGAAAGTATTACGAAGGTTTGGTTTGATTGGTTCGTTTCGGTAATGTGCGTTTCTGAAAATTCGTTATATTTTAAGAAGCCACTTTCTGACTGACTTAAAAGAAACTGATTTTAACCCATTGTTGAAGCAAAACATGTTCTGGTTTGAGTACTTACTATATGTTGATACGGAACTCTGGTTTTACTTTCACCCGTTCTTCCTGACCTAAGCCTTACCATCTCAAGAGCCTTGTAATCTTGACCTTTGGAATTTTATAATTTTCGTTTTTTTGTTCAGTTGTTAATCTTGATCTATGACTTTAGTCTGAATATTTAACTTAAAATTCACCAAAGTCGTCATACAAAATTTTGGCCTTTGTAGATAGATTGGAAAATACAAGCTGATCTTTATAGACAGGCTGGAAAACACAAGCTGATCTTTATAGACGGACTGGAAAACTTAAGCTGGTCTTTATATACAGACTGGAAAATACAACCTAATCTTTGTGGACAGGCTGATCTTTATAGACAGGCTGGAAAACACAAGCTGATCTTTATAGACAGACTGGAAAACACATGCTGATCTTTGTGGACAGACTTAATGGTATAACGTAATATTTAAACACACTTGAGATAACACAAAGGATCCTTTAAAAAATATATAAATAAACGTCAATATGCGCGTGTGTATCTGTTCCTTATACGTTTCCACATTATTTGATCAGTCGTCACTAAACTTGACACAGTAATACAGGATAATAGAGGTCATGGGGGTTGGACCCTCATCTAATGATTTATATCCCTCAGCATTAGAATGAGCTATGTAACCCCTGTTGTTAGAATTCTTGATAACAGTATGTCTTTCTTTTCACTATTGGTACTTTTATGTATTTTTATTGCACTTTTAATGTTTATTATGTTAAGAAAAAAAATAGAAGTACTATTTTCTATCCTTTGTTACAAACGAGTTTCTATTTCCACTCGTTCAACGAACAGGTATTCCAGCTACTAGTAAATAAACAACCATTTTGTGTAGAATATACGAGCTTATTAGACAATATATGTCTTATGGCCTCGCCAAATTCAACCATAACAATAGGAAAAATAGAATACAATTGTACGGATAAACGTGATCTAGTGGTTAGAGTGCAAGTTCGCGGAATGAAAGGTTTATGGTTCGAGCCCCCAATATACTTCTGAATATGCTACGCAATTTTATACAAACCTGTAGTTCGGTTAAGAGTTCTCTGTATATGGTGGGTGTTGCTGACTGGTTTCTCTCCCTCTCATCAGCAGTTCAAAACTAGGGGCAGTTGTGATTGAATCTTTGGTTTTTTTTTGAACCAGCCATTTAACCAATGCGTTTCATAAGATTCCGGACAAATTGAAAACAACAGATACCAGGATATACTTGTAAGAAACACGAAAACCTTTCTCGGTACAGATTTATCTAACAACACATAATAATGATCAGTATTAAGTTCTATGGTTACAACAATGTTAGAGCCAATTGAATCCCATTCATAAAAGACCTGAGAGAATTATCAACAGAAGAAAATAGATTACAAAATCTGAAACATAAGTTCATAAAAGTGCTTCTAAGAAGACTAACAAACTCATAATAGTGCAGCAAAAATTCCTGGAAGGAAACTTGAAATGTTACAGAGACTAATAACAAAACTTGAAGTCGTAAAATTAGAGAAAGATCGGGATACGAAAGAAAAGAAAATGTTTGTAGAAGAGAAAGTAAACCTGAAAGACATAACGTGAATTTAGTAGAGGGCCAAAGTTTGTAATGTCAGCAACATTAAATGAAAAAAAAAATCAGTTAGACTTTTTACAGGACTGAAATTCTTCATGGACTTCTCCTGTCTTAACTCTTGAGGTGGATTTTGCTTTGGCTCTGTTCAAAAGTCTTTTTCAGGTCGGAAGGATGTCCACCTTCAGATCTAAGACTTGAACATTTCATGAAAAATCTTAAGACATTACAGTCTTCACTTTTTTTTAGGATTCCAGCAACTTACGTAAAATATTCCTTCGAGCCTACAATAGGCCCGGCATGGCCAGGTGGTTAGGGCGCTCGACTCGCAATCTGAGGGTCGCGGGTCCGAATCCCCGTCCCACCCTTTCCCACATTATAACGCCCTTTCAGCCGTGGGGGCGTTATAATGTGACGGTCAATCCCACTATTCGTTGGTAAAAGAGTAGCCCAAGAGTTGGTGGTGGTGGGTGGTGATGATGACTAGCTGCCTTCACTCTAGTCTTACACTGCTAAATTAGGGGCGGCTAGCGCAGATAGCCCTCGTGTAGCTTTGCGCGAAATTCAAAACAAAACAAACGAACCTACAATAAACGATACACAAACCAAACTAAAAGAAAAACAATCAAGGAAGGGTCTAAGGCTTCATTTGTTGGGGAGGGGTTATTTTGAGACGCGTGGATGCGGTAATATTTTAAACATCACATGCACTGGTCAATTAGTGAAATAACTCAACAGATATAGTCGGGATTAGTATAAAACCTCATTACCCATTACTTAACATTACATGGATAATTTGTACATTTCTTGTGATGTTGATGGGGGCCCTTGATAATCGCTATGGGGGATGTCATCCATCCACCGTTAACGCCTTTCTTGGAAACATTCCATAAGAGGGCATTAGACGTGCATCAAAGCACAGAGATAGTCTCGAAGTTGTTTTGTCCTCTTTCAAACTCATCTTTTGAAAACCCGTGAGCACTCACAGTAAAAATAAGTTCAGAAGATAAAGAAATAACCAGATTTTCAAAAACCTCTATGAAAATTTCCTAACTCTTCACCAAAGTTCAGAGTGTATCTTTTGAAGAAAATGTGACCAAATCGAATCAAATGAAGACATTAAGTCATAGGGAGAACTTGCCAATCTAAAAATATGTTTATTTATGGAATAAACGTGTAAGTATGTTTATCACAGTTTTAAAAACATTATGTTTTTCTAGGTTTGCCCAGCATCATCAGGTGGTAAGCTTTGATTGGAAGCGTGCAAAAGTTTAGAACTCACGTTTTAAATATCATAATGACATTACGTCATTAAGCAACAACGAATAGAAGCCAACAACAGTTAAACAAAAAACAAAACAAAACAGAATAAGCATAATTTAACCCCAATGTTAGATTTCCTTTTTCGATAAAAAAATGTTTCGTTAATCTATTTTTTACGATTTATATGCCTTTAGTTGTCAATGGTTTTAACATCTAGAAAATCAAAGGAAGGTTTATGTTTACCTTTGGGTTCAAATACATAAGAGGGAGTTTTTAAAAGTTTTTTCATTCTTCTTGAAGGCTGTTGAGTTGTTTAGAAGTGAGATCCTTCATATTCTTTTCATTCAGTTTGATATATTGACCATGATGAGCCATTATTAACAAAGTTTCTTGTAAAAACTGACCATATATGATAATGGAGCAAGTTCTCTGAGTTTTTCTCTTCCTCTTGTACATTATTTTGCAGGAATGATTTCTTTGTTTGTTTTTAGAGCAAAGCCATATTGAACTATCTGCTTTGTCCACCACGGTGAATCGAACGCCGGATTTTAGCGTTGTAAATCCATAAACAGCTGTCCCACCGAGGCACATGCAAGGAGGATAAAGTTTAATTTTTTACCACCTTGGAATGATACATATTTTGTGTCATAAGTTGTGCTTTTAACGTTTTTTTTTTTCCCAGTTAGAAAAAGTCTGTTAAGAGGAACTAATATTTGTACCCGTATGATAAAATAAGTTTTAATTACACTAATTTCTTTGTTTACGATTATTGAAAGAATGCCAGTGGATATAAACTCCCGATAGTAATCCAATGCAGAGTTCATCGCTTCTTGAACCAATAAATACAGGGAAAAAAAATTGTGCATCAAAACTAGCAATGGAATGTCACTAGAATGATCAGAATCCCAAATCCTGTTTACATATATATCTCTGTAATCAAATAATTACTTCATTTTTTAGCAAAATGATTTGTTTGTTTTGAATTTCGCACAAAGCTACACGAGGGCTATCTGTGCTAGCCGACCCTAATTTAACAGTGTAAGACTAGAGGGAAGGCAGCTAGTCATCACCACCCACCGCCAACTCTTGGGCTACTCTTTTACCAACGAATAGTGGGATTGACCGTCACATTATAACGCCCCTACGGCTGAAAGGGCGAGCATGTTTGGTGGGACGGGGATGCGAACTCGCGACCCGCTGATTGCGTGTCGAGCGTCCTAACCACCTGGCCCTAGCAAAATGAACTAATTTTCAATTTCCAAGCATTAATTACGACAAAATCGAAGGTCTAATTATGGGAAATCCAATTTTGCCTGTGTTAGTAATGATCACTATGGAAGGTCTAATTATGGGAAATCCAATTTTGCCTGTGTTAGTAATGATCACTATGGAAGGTCTAATTATGGGAAATCCAATTTTGCCTGTGTTAGTAATGATCACTATGGAAGAAATCTATTTTCACTTCCCATCTACTCACCACCTTTCTGGATTCGTTATGTGGAAGAACATTTTAAGGCTTTTAATTATTTAAATTGCATTGATAGTTTTCTTTCAAATTTGAATGTAGCCCATCCCAACAGTAAGTTTACAGTTAGAAATGAAATTAGCGAAAACTTTCATTTGTAATTCTTCTTACGGAAAACAAAAATAATGAAATTCACGCTTCCGTT